TAAATAGTGACCCCCTTCCATCAATTGTTGTACTGGAGATTTCAATCAAAGCACCACTCCCAGTATGTACTACACTAATGGTCCATAAACGTGGTACACCACGATGCATTTTAAATGCGTTTGTTTCGTGAGATGGCCGTTTTAGTGCTCATGGTAGGCGTATGCAGAAAAGCAAAATATGCATGCCTTCCCTCGCTTTTTTCCGGCTTACTGTATTTACCAGCGCTTTACAAAGCTGACAAGCTATAAACTTGAAAATAACACTTCTATGAGGTTGCTCTTGTACACATATCATAGATAATTATAGCACTGTTAAGCAGCGAGCATGAACTGTAATTAAGTGTACTTGCCTTTCAATTGGTATCACACCTAGGAGCATATCGCAGTTGGCTCCAGATTCAACATGAAAGAGCAGAAATTTTGGAGATTCTAAGATGACCCAGATTTCAACTTTAAAGACAGCCTAGTTTTGAATAATACATCTACCAGCACACAGTTTTACCACGATAGGTTGATTATAACAGTATCATTTTAAGTGATGTGTTTTTGGACTGTTAGCAAATCATCTGTTACAAAAATTAGGAATATGCTAATTTTGTTACCGTCGTACCAAATTATAATATTGTTAATTAACATCATTAGTACTGAAAGGTCAGCTTTGCTGACAGTCCTGCTTAAAACGGAACAGCGTTTCTACCTTAAGCACTTGATCATTATACACCTTTGGGAACAGACTGTGAACACGTAGCCTGTTGCGGAGAACAAAGAAATTTAGGTTGGTAGGGTTTAGAAGAAAGACACCATCAGCATTTTCATCCAAAAGAGTATGGGTATCGACCAAAACCAAGCGTCCACGTGTCAGGTGGGAAAACCGCAGCACGCACTATTTTATTTTCATCATTTCTTAAATAAATAAATAATGTGAACATTAATGTTGAAAACTTAAAACTTCTCTGACAGCCTTGCCTACGTGGCGGTTCTCTGGCTTTCACAACGGTCTGATCGTTAGGACAGATTGTGAGTGCACTGTTGTTCAGAGGGAATGAAAAAATTTCAACATTATTACATTTCAGCATGGAGCTACGCTCTGGGATCTCTTTTAAAACAGTAGCATGATGACTTGGTGGCACAATGCCTAGCAGGTAACCTTTCGACTCCGCAGGTACGGCATTTGATTCTGTCGAAGGGAAACCCTT